GACCAGGGCTCAAGTTAACACCTTAACTTTTATGCTTCAAAACCAGAAGTGTTTTATTTACTATTATTGCGGCCAAGCCGCCTAGGGGTAAATGTATCTCTTTAACTATCTAGCATAGTTAAACCTAATCAAATGCATAACGTGTGGCTTTCAGCCAACGTACTGAGAGACCTTGTTAACTCTCCAACTTATGTACTGAGAGTTTGTTAACTCTCCGGGTACTTCGTACCCCTGTGTGCTCCACACCATGTAACCCCGTTACACCCAGCTAGCCGAACAAGACCCACCGGACGTAGCAAGGGAGATCTTCCTGGTTGACAGAGAAGATTGGTGGAGAAGGTCGGCTTATTTAATTGGTTGGTTGTGTGGTCCGCGGAAAAACGTGAAGTGAGAGGGGTTTTGCTAGCTTTTTAGGTCTCAGTTCGAACGTTTCGATGTACGCACGGTAATATAAAACGCATCATTGAAGCGCAAGCAAGAACTTTGTGTCCGCTTTTGGTTGTCTGTCTGGCTCTCTTTGCTGTTTCGTTGTGAATTAAGCGGACCAGTGGCAAATTGCTGTCAAACGTGTGATATGTTCGCATATCAACCTGCCAAATAGCTTCTAGTATTTATGATGCGCAGCTCAAACTCAATTTCAAGACTCAAGCTCGGAGATCGTCAGCTAATATTGGAGTGTCAGACGGCTGACTGTCTGATAGAAGTGCGGAGCACCATGGCGAGCGTGTATTACGGCTGTTTTTTTGCCAATCTTCGTGAATATGTGTTTGATCTTCTCTTTGCTGAGTTGATTTGTAAACCTCTTTTGCTATATATTTGTGTCTGAGGACCAGCAGCCTCGTAATGTCGTGGCTAGATTGGACACAAAACCGTAGCGGACCAAACGTTGGACGCCTGCTTGACACACTCCCTGAAGTAGATGGTAACGCAATTACCTTTGCAGATCGCGACAGCTACAAGGTGTTCTCCATATGATCTGCTATAGTAACAAAAGTGCGGATGGGTCTAGTGACATTCGCTCAAACATTTCCATCAGTATCGATCAAGCAGAGATGCGAGTGCAACACGCTACATATAATACACCCCCATGCAACGACTTTGGGCTCTCGAACGTTAGTGTCCATTTAATCGCCCATAGAAGCTCAGCCCATACAAATCTCTAGTCAGCCAAAATGACACAATTTTATTTTAAATAGGTTTTGTATTGAGCCGATGGTGGTCGTAAATTGTGTCCAGCCTGACAATTTTTATTTGTATGTGAGGCTCCCTATAAAGGGCAAAAACGCGAGTGCTAGCACATCCTTGCTATATTGAAGCATGTCTTAAAGCTTGTGTGAAAACCGCAGCGTCCAATGATAAAAATTGACTGAGTTATGGGTACTCGACGAGGTGGTCGTATAATTGTGTCCAGGAGTGAAGGCCTCTTTTAACAGTTATATCTAAAATAAACAGTTTTTGTATTGAGCTTGAAGCCTTATGACACAAAGTGCACCGGCCTGAAAAGGTACACGTTACCGGGGCAGCGTGGAATTTTGTGAGCGTTTGTCAACGAGGTTACACGACCAAGTGCTGCCCAATAAATGAATTTTCTCGTGGCCAAAGTCATGAGCATGAAAAATCCAAACCGATGCGGGTACAGACAACGACGGTGAAAGTCACCCCCCCCCCTAGATATTTATTTCTTATACAAAATGAGAAAGGTCAACAAGACAAAAAAAACTCGACCCCTTGCGCGGTATCGCCCGCGATTAGTCAAAATAAAATCAAACAAAAGAGTAAAAAACGAATGAACAACCGGAACACAACGCATGTACACGTATGTTTTTGATCTACACCATCACTACAGGGTTATATGGGGTTGGTTTTTCATTGCTAGTAATAACATACTCCGTAGATATGTTCTCCCACGCTCTAATCGTGCACATGACCGCAGCTAAGCGCTTTTCGCTTGTGGTTCTTGTCGCTGCAACCTTGTCTCGTAGCCATTCAGCGGTCAGTTTGTTTTTTGTGGTTTCATAACTCCCACATCAAGTGGCTGACTATCAGAGGTGCTGTTAGCAGGAACTGGGACCACGATTACAGAGGTCTCTTCTGCTACTATGCTCTGATCTACTTCCGATACGTGCAAGGCAAAGTTGTCCAGCAAGAGGGTCGCGGGGACGTAAATTTCGTACTTTAGCAAGCTCAAAATGTTCGTTTGCCACACCGTGGGGTCCATCCAGCCGTTTTCTTGGACGATATACACGTTGTCAGCAGAATACGTTGGAATATCATCCGTCTCCACGGTCCCTCCCGGCATTCCCCGTAGTATAAACAGATTATGCAGTTTTTTCTGTCATTTAAATCAGTTAGCGGATAACATATAAAACCGTAAAACGATACAAGCATAAAAACTAGAAACTAAAACCTTACATCAGCTCAAATGGTAAGAGCTGTAGTGAGTCTACAAGGGGTTTTCTGAATGTGATTCACTTTAGCAGAGCCACGACGTCCTTTGAGGGGCCTACACCTTGTGTGGTGGCGGGGTGAAGTAAATTTCAGTCTCATCGACGTTGTACATCGCGGATTGAGGGTGGTGAGAATACTCATTCGAAATTCGATGGCTAATTTCAAATGAATTTCTTGTAGTGCTTCTTCGTCTTGTTTTAGTATACTGTGGTCTATGAGCAGAAATTCCATGGCTACACCACCAACAAAGCAAATTAGTTTAAAGAACTGTTTTAAACAATTGACAAAATGCTTCCTTTAAACCAACGTTTTGTAAAAACCCAGACGCTTACCGAGCTGACATTTACTAGCGCATACACATCACGCGCTCAATGCGCGCTTAGGAAACGATTTATCCGCTAAATAATTCCCCAGCCAAGCCCCTTGCTTCATCTTCATGTACTCGATCATGCCTCCTGTACACCAGTTTTATAAAATATCGTATAATCTACTATAAAACAATAAAGGAACTATTTTACCTCTTCCTCCCGACGGACGTCCTTCATGAAGGTGACCAATTCGTGCGCAAATGTGATTTTCGTCATTGCTACCTGACTTTCGTCGTTTTGCTTGTATGGGTGCCCTTAAACGCAAACAGCAGATTTGCCTCTTTCCTCCAATCTTTTGGTGTACTCAACCGAATATTTAGCGCCCGAGCGGTAGGCTTACATCCCTCCAATTCCATCCGCTCGAGCGCTTCATGCCTCTGTTTAACGGTGTAATTATTTTGGCGACGGGGTGAATCCATCATTTCACAGCCATTAGTGAATATGGCGCTCACATGGCGTGCTATCCAGCAATTTACGTGAAACGTGTTAATTGATTTAAATTAAAGCAGCTCTTCTTTTTTACTTGAGTCTAAATTTGCACTTGGAGGGGGGATCAATTTTGTGTGTGTGTGAGGGGGGGGTAGTTTTATCGTGGTTGTCTGTATGCGTCGGCTACGGAGTCAAGCGATATATATTAAGGGTAACCATAGACACTTCTTCGCGCTAGAAAACCATGCTGTTTTCTGTGCAACGTATTTCGAGCAGAGGCTGGTCAACCAAGACGAAAATGGCAACTCGGTGCGACCTGAGGTCTTTCATGACGAATCATGCGCGTCAATATCAATTTCGCCTCTGATAAAACAGCGGGTGATCATAAACAAAGTACGGATGTCAAGCACTTGTAGCGGGCTCAAGGCAGCCCGTTGCCAAGCATACACAGCTGCAATCGGAAGTTGGTCAATAACACTTTGAAGTTGACTCATAATAGCGCGGTCTTGACACTTCGGACCGCGCCCGACCATCGTATTCACTAGACGCATGTCCATGCAGTTCACAGAGCGCTCTGCTGCTTTTTCAAGAAGCCGCGTTCGCATCACTGCCTTTTGTCCATACGGAGCGTCGAGCATTTCGTGTTGATTGAGGGCAAGATATACCTTGATACGCGCCTTCAAAGCGCTGAAGTATCCTGTTAGTACACAAAGGAATGTGGTTACACGAAGTACAATGACGATAGTCACGTAAACGTACCTTCAATCGGGTTACACATGGGTGAGTAAGGGCCTAGCCGTAAAAACATCAGGTCATCTCGCTTTTGAACGATGTCCTCCGTCTTGCTGTAGCGGGGGCATTGTCCCATACGATGACAATGGTATTTCCCTGGAAGTGCTCTTGGTAGGCATTATGGGCCTTCACAGCCTCGTAGACAGCGTCCATGAACGCGGCGATTTCCTCCATCCTGATGCTCCCGCGCCGAATGGCGAAGTGCACCAAACTTACTTCAGGTGAAACTGCGCATTGGAGATGCGGATTAGCGCCTCTCGAGGGTGGTAGCGTTACAATAACTCGCTCTCCACAAGTGCACGTCCTTCAGACCGCTTGCAGTACAAGTTGTAGTTGGTCTCGTCGTAGTAAACTATAAAAGACCCTTTCCGCTCCTCCTTCAGCAGTTCCTCAGCGAATATGTATCCTACGCTTTTCAATGTTTACGACGCGATTGCACGTTTCAGGCTCAACACGGACCTGTAATGCATAACGGTATAATACACGTAAAATCAGTTGTTAATATACAGTATATGTGTTTAAATGTGAGGGAACCTTAGTGCATGTACATGCATTTACCTATTTGACTGTATAAAGCTTATCACACAGCTTTTTACTGATTAGAGACGTCCTTAGCTTAAAGTCGAAGTCAAAATGTATCATGTCGCTCATCCGAGCGAGTGTATACTGGCAGTTCTCCTCCAGGTACTTCACCAACGCATCTTCCATTTCGGGTGTGCACTCCGTGCAGACCGCCCGAGCACCGCCTCTCTTCTTTACGTCAGGTGTCCAGCGCGCGACGATATTGCAGGCAGTAGAGGGCGGGATGTCGTTGCATCCCGCGACGATTCCCCAGTCACGCCCCTCTCTACGCGCCTTTAGTACTCGAGAGCGAGCAGCAAGTCCGTGCTTGGACTCCTTTGGCATGCTGCGGTGAGGCTGTGCTGAAGGGGGGGACGAGCCAGTGGCTAGCGTTTGGGCTACACTAAATCCAGATTGTGCGAAAAGCTAAATATTTAAATACAATTCATCTTTTAAAAAAAGCATGAATGTTACTTCTGTTTCTGTTGGTGACTTTGTTCTACAAAGCGGCGAAGTAGGTTGGTCAATGGTATTCAGCATAACAAATTGTTGGATCTTCTTTCGTGGCTGAGATCATTCACCAACCGGACGAGGAATTTCCGTCCTCGATTTTATCACAGTGAAGCAGGCGTTATGACAAAATCGATTTGTTATACCAATATTCTGCGCTTGACAAAGATTTGCGTTTATATAATGGTGCTTTTGCCGAGTGGGCTGCCATCGATACTAGCTTTCAAGTCAAAATGTGGCGGTGCCAGTTTCACGCTATGGTGTATCGGAGGAAAAGGGTCCCCTCTCGACGTTGCTATAGTTTTAAACTCAGCCAGCGCAATGTTCTGCGTTCACGTGTAGCCCATGCTGTTCATCCACTCAATGGATACAAGAGGTTTTGGTGAATACAGAAGCTGTTTTGCTTGATGAGTTTTTGATTGTGTGAACTCGAACAAATAGTTCTTTTTTTCTTTAAAGAGAGATGGATTGCGCGCTCGTTGTGCTCTGCCAACAAAGTAGTGGCAGCTGAAGCACCTCTTTGCTGCGATTTTAAGTGTCGGCAAGGCTCGCGGTAGCTGTAGTAAGCATCGTTATCGCAATCTGGACAATTAGACATACTTAAAAGGGGTACGATATGTATTCGTACGATTTGCAGGGGCGCTAGGTCACCCCAGCGACATTCAGACACGAAGTTGAAGCGAAGACACTAGGCTTTTAGCTGTAATATATAGAAAAGCTAACCTTAAAAATAGGTTTTGTATTGTGCTCTGCAGATGGACAATCCATCTGCAGAGCACAATACAAAACCCATCCGTTTTAAAGCCTAGATCGAGCATGGTCGAAGCGTAAAACCACGCAAAAAAGGTAAAAAGAGGCAGGCATCGATTTGTTCTATCTGTGCTCGAATTACCAATTCAAAACAGCAAAAAGGGTCGATTTACAGGATTCCGATGTGGATACCACGACAGATTTGGAGGGGAAAAACACCGTCAAAGAAGTGGCAGCATGCGTCCGACAGTAGTAATAGTTCCTGGACTACCATGGACGAAACCATCGCTTTGGGTTTGATCCGCATAAAGAACGCTACGACCAGGACGCACCGCCAGAGAAAAAAGCTAAACTTTCTACTGGACGAATCGAACAAAACGAGCGCGTAAAGGTTGTTGGATATTGATGTAAGAGCCAGCCAACGGGCAGGCGACCGGAAGCCAGACCCCCAAGGACCTTTACGCAAGTGTCGAGTCGACAATGTTGAAGGTACGACATTTTGACTTGGTTTCACTATTGGGACCAATCAGATCGAGTGTAGGCGCGTGTCTTTTCAGGTTATTGTGTAGTGTGCATGTAGAATCCAACTAAAAACTCCTTTGAATATATTTATCGCTTTCACTTCTACCTTCTGCCGAGCAAGTGCCAAACCAACAGGTTTTGCCCAATGGTCAACAACTCAGACGCAGACGCTGCTAGGGAAGCAGTCCCCGCCTCCCCCGCCGCCCACGAAAGGGGCGAAGAGCATCACGAAGAGAAGGTCACGCCGGACGCTGGAGCACTTGCGGCTCTCATCCCTAAGCTCACAGCCAAAGTGGACAGCTTAGAGCGGTCGCTGGAGACGCACCAGCAGCGTGCGGCCGTCACGCCACCCGGTGCGGGCTAGGCTGGCCCAGAGCGTGTACCGTCAGGCACTGCAGCACGGAGGCAGCTTGGGCATGCAGCGCATGCAGCTGCATGGGCTCGGCGCGTCGAACTTTGGCATGGGTGCGCAGACACCTGGGGTGTATGGTGGTCTTGGTCCTGGGCAACAAGCAGGAGGCACACCGTTTCAGGCCCAAGAAGCAGCTCAACAGGCGCCACCGCAGTAACAACCAGCTGCGCAGTACTAAGCACATCGACCTTCGCCGCTGCATCTCAACGAGAGAGTGCCTCCTGCCAAGGATGCGAAGCTCTTCATGCGAAACTTCGACGGCAGCGAGGTCTACAAGGGACTTGGGAGCGGCTTCGAGCAGTGGGCGCTGCTGTTCATTGAGCAGATCGAGATGGCGGAGCAGGCGTGTGGCTACGCCTGGCCTGAGCGCTACAAGGTGAACAAGCTCGGCCAGCATCTACGTGGTAAAGCTGAGCTCTTCTTCCAGCAGCACATCATGCGCTGGTGGGCCACGTAGCCGACGCTCTGGTTTGTGATGGATCAGATGCACTTGTCGTTCAAGCGGGCGCTCTCGACTCAACAAGGAATTAAGCTCTTTGGCGCGAAGAAGGACCCGTCGCGTTCGTGGAATGAGCACTTCTTGTGCTTAAATGCTCTCATGATGGCAACGAACGCGTCACCAACGCTAGTGCTGGAGAACATCGTCAAGTTTTCGGATCCGGACTTGAGGCACGCCTTGATGGAAAGTGTGACATCACGCGGTCGGATCCTCTCCAACAAGCAAGCGAACTGGTCGTCTGGGCGCAGAAGATGACCGATGAAGATCGAGCGCCAAAGCATCTTGGTAAGGAAGTCGTGAACGCAGTGGCTGAGTCCCAAGAGGAAACGCGGCGATGCAACAAGTGCAAGAAGATTGGACACCTGAAGAAGAACTGCCCAGATCGTTCCGCTGGAAGCAACAATGACCAGCCAGTAAAGTTCGCACTTGCCGCCGGTAACGACTTCAAGTCCGTGGACGCTACGAGCTGGATTCTGGACAGCGGTGCCAGCCGACATCTTGTCAATGATCCTGCGCTACTGGCCAACGTAGTGCAGTGCTCTGATGAAGACACCGGCATGTTACCGGATGGTCGAACGATACGTAGCCAAGAAAGAATCGGTGATTTTGAGAGCTATTGTCGACAGAGTCGCGGCTGAGGTGGAGCTCAGTGAGGTCTACTACGCCCCGAGACTCGCGCAGAACCTGATTTCATACGGACGGCTGATAGCGAAGGGATGCTCTCTCACCAAGCGCAGCGGAAAGTTGGTGTTGATGAAAAGCAACGAAGTGGTATTCTATGTCGACGTAAAGCACAACGTGCTTGTGGCTAGGCTTGAATCGGTAGCTACGAGCAATGCTAAGATGGAGCAGCTGATCATGAACGTGGTTGACACGAGTACGGACACAGCCTCGCCGGGCGTCGCCACGGACACGTTGATGGGCTTCCATGCACGTTTCGGCCACTTGGCATTGGACACTATTGAGCGTATGGCAAATGACCCCGCATCCGGCATCAAGATATCGAATTGTGACCGTAAGCCCTGCATGGTTTGTGCTGAGGGTAAACAGACTCGTGCGAATCAACCGACTAAGGACACCGGGGAACATGCACCGATCGACAAAGTCGGAGGAGGCATCTGCAGTGACTTGAAGGGTCCCATGACGCCACTCGACCGCCAAGGTAACCGCTACATGGTTAGCTTCGTGGACCACAAGTCGAACTACTGCACGGTGTTCATGGCAAAAAAGAAGAACCTGGCTGCAAAGAAGCTCGAGGACTTTCTTGTCGAGTTCGAAAAACGGTTCGACATTCGCATGCATGTTCTCCGCACGGACGGTGGAGGAGAGTGCCGAAACGTGGATCTCTTCTGCAAAGAAAACGGAGTGGCTCGTCAGGTGTCAGAAGTCGGCAACCAAGCTGCAAACGGCAAGGCGGAGCGGATGCATCGCACGGTTCTCAACATGGCTCGGTACATTGTGTTCGGTGCAAGATTGCCGCCGAGCTTCTGGGGTGACGCGGTTGAGTACGCGACGTACGTGCTGAACCGGAGCTCGTCACGCGCTAACGAGGATCGTAAGTCGCCGCTCGAAGTGCTGACTGGCGAAGCACCAAACCTTCGCGACATTGGCATCTTTGAATCAAAGTGCTCCGTGTTTCGTGACCCCGGAAAGCGCGCCATGAAGAAGAGGGCGTGTGAGGGCGTCGTCGTCGGCAAGGACAAATCTACCAAATGGTACAAGGTGTACCTGCCTTCGGAGAACAACGAGGCATGTGCAGAACATCCGCGCGTTGGAGGAGAAATCCGATGTGAAGCCACCAGCTGTTCAGGCTCCCACAACGACGACGCCACCGGCACCATGTTCCACACCACGAAGATCTCGTCGCTCACGCTGCAAGTCGCGCCGCCGTGCTGAATCTGATGGAGACGTGGAGGTTGACGAGTCGAGGCTGAACACTGACCCTGTGGTTTTGACCGTATCCGAAGTTAAGGACGTCAATGCCCACGCTGATGACCCGGAACCGAATAACTACAGGCAGGCGCGGAAGCGCGCCGAGAGCGCGCTTTGGGAGGCAGCGGAAAGGAAGAACGTGAAGCTCTACAGGGAATAACACGTGGAAGATGGTCAAGCTCGAGCCTGGTAGCATTCGCTTGCATACTAAGTGGGTGTACAAGAAGAAACGAACAGGCACGGGTTTGATCGAGCGGTACAAGGCTCGACTAGTCGCCTGTGGCAACGAGCAAAAGTTCGGCGTTAGCTTCTTTCTCGTGTTCGCGGCTGTGATTACCATGACTAGTGTCAAGTTCATCTTCGTCATTGCGATCATATGGAAGGTGCCTGCCAGACACGGCGACGTTCCAAACGCGTTCGTAAAGGCGAAAACGGAGGAGGGTATCGAGATTTTGCTGTTCGTCCCCAACGGACTCGTTATCACGGAGGAAGAGCTGAAGACGCTCGGAGCTGAGAGCGTGGATGAAGTTGGCCTACTTCTTGGTCAGAGCCTTTACGGTCTGAAACAAGCAGGACGCCTCTGGCATGTGCACCTTCATCGCGAACTGGTCAAGCTTGGGTTCATCCAGTGCATTACGGACGCGTGCCTGTACTTCAAGGCTGACAGCGGCGGAATGACGGCCGTCGGAATGCACGTGGATGACCTGCTGGTTACTGGCA